TCTAAGTTTATTCTTAACCTTCCTACTTTTTAATTTAGCTATGTCTGGTAGAAATAAAGTACTAGGTTTTGTATTTATGACATAGAGTTGATGACTTAAATCTGGGTTAGGTTTTAGACTTTCTAGGTCAGAAGCAGTGGGTGATGGAGTAAAATCATCTTCCCTATCCCTTTCTTCTTCCTTAAACCTAGAATATGTATTAACTAAAGGAGGTTTGTGAGTATAATGAGGTCTGCTAAGGTGTGGACATGACTCATTATCACCCCTTTCATTTTATATTTGTTTTTCAAGTTGGTTAATCCTGAATTGCAGTTCTTTTGCAATTTCTCTATCTCTTTGGGATACAGTAGAACCAACATCTGATCGTCTTCCTTCATTAATCCTAATAGGTTCATTAAATCTACTGGACCTATGGGATCTGGCTGAATCGAAGGAGATCCTAACCATTCCATCAGAAAGCTGCTGGACAGTCTCTAGATTGGTAGATGTTGTTTCTTTGTCTTTATCATGGTTTTCATTAGTGACAAGCCATGATTCTGGAAGTTCAATGTCCTTCCATTGAAGTCTTTTAGGGACTTGGACATTAGCCTCACTGGTACTAGGTTGGATTAACAGAGTACTTTCTTTAGGGCTTTTCTTTAATGCGTGTACATTCATGTTGGTGGTTATGCATTTGTAATAGACCCTATAGATTAGAGCTAAAGAGGCAGTTTCTTTTACTAAGTCTAAGATTTGTCCAGAGAGTTTGATTCCTAAGTTAAGGCTTTAGGAGTATGCTGGCAATGTAGACTTAATGTAAAATCAGGGAAACAATTAAAATATACTGGTCCTTCATGAAGTCCAGCTTCCATTATTCCTAAAATGCCATTTTTATAGGTAATAAATCTTGCATCTCTTAGGGATAATAGAACTGCAGAATTCATGCCATCAGTAGTCAGGGGCTTTATAGCTACCTGTACTAATCCTAAATGAATAAAATTAAATCCTTCATTTCTGTGGATTTTCAATTCTTCTTTACTTAAGAGTTGGACTTGTTCTTCACTATTTTTTAATGCATGAACTTGTTCAATGGTTCGTACTTTTAATTTTTCACTGAAAGTTCTTGGGATCCAACTAGTTTTGTAAATTTCTTTGTGTGGTACAGAAGGGATATTCCATCCTGTCCAGTCTACATTTCTATTTTCACATTCATAGTTTTCTTCATTCACTATATTAGGTATAGTACTAGATGAAGATCTAGATGAACTAGCTGTGGAATTAGATCTGAATAATCTATTCATTTTTTAAATTACAGATTGCTTTAAATTTTTAAAATTATTTTTAAGTGAAAACTACAACTGTAGTAAAACCACTAAGATCATACCCCCTAACATTCATTCCTCACTTTCTCACCTAAATCTCACAACTGCCCTATCTTCGGGACTTATAAAGAGATATCGAAAGGCTTACAGACTCTTGGATAAACAAAGGTTGGGTGCCTTAGTTAAGTACACACTTAAAAATGATTTCTAGAATTCAAAACAATAAGAATTTTCAAATGAATCAGATAATTCAATATAATTCGGCAGATAGATATCAAGACCGTTACGAGGTGTCAATGAAGATTCAAAAATATAGGGGTGTCCTTGAAGATATGATAAACTAGAAGGTGACGTGGTTGAAATTTCACTTGTAACTTTTTAACTTGTAAGTTACACAAAATATTGATTAATTCTATAACATTATGATTTATCATGAAAATTATAATTTTTTAATATCAAATTATAACTTACGGAGGAAAAGTTAGAAGTAGAACTAATTCAAGTAATTCATGATCGATCACAATATTTTATAATTGATTATGAATTATCTCAATTAATTATAATTTTATTTTTAAAAATAGTAATCTTACCTATTACAATGGTAATCTTTGGTATGGTACCAAATTTTTTTTTGATACCCTAAAATTATCCCTTGAAATACTAAATATTGTTATTGAATAAAACACAAGATTAGTTGAAAGCACATCCTAATTATATATATACCTCTTGAACTTTATCATTTAAATTTTAAACCATATTATTCAGAAAATAACATGCAACCATCCGAATGAATGATGATTTTTCATAACCCAACATTACATTCAGTAAAAGAGTCTTTTAACATTAAACCCTGATATTATAATATTAAATGTAAATACTACATCGATATATTGCTTCATGTGACTTTGGTCTATAAAGGTTTTAATTCACATTTAAATGGTCTGTGAAAGTAAATGAATTTAAATTAATAGCGAAAAACGTTGCAGGAGAGTTCTGCACAAATGAAATACAATATACATTAAAGAAAAACGGGAAGTAAACCAACAATACAATGGAGAATGAGATTCAATGCAGAGCGGAGGTCTTGATCACCTCCCTGCAATGACCAGTAATATGTCTTTCTAGTGTTTACAAAATATAGCGGAGGATCTTATGACTTTATTAATAAGTTCAATAACATTTCTTCTAAAGTTCTATTGAATTTTATTGAACAAGAAGCAACACAGAGCTGATCATCGTCATCATCACTTGAATCCTTGGAACTGAGCTAATAGTCTCCAATGGGGGTCATTGGTAAACCCTTCATTATAGGCGCCCCGCTACACTGGATCTTATAACTTCAACGGATAGATCCTACTGTATTTTTTTGGCACGCCTTTGATAGAAAGCTTTGATCCTTCCAAGGCCTTGTTTAAGGAGTGATGGTTCAATGGCAAATGTTATGCGAAGCCAATTCTTGAGTCCTACAGTCACCCCTGCAATAAACATTGTAATGACAAGGCCATTCTAAAACTTGATGGAAGGACAAAAAGCCATAAAAATGCTGTCTCGACTCTCCTGCAATTGCATTGCCTTTTTTTTTTTTGGGGTCATTGCAGATGCATTGCCTAAAGAAGTTTCTTCATCAAACTAACTACAAAATGTTACATGAAAGTTTACTGAGAATGCCTTTTTTCAAAGCCATTTTGGCTGCATTTAGTCCCCTGCATATTCTATTAGTAAACTCACAGTTGAAAAGTTTTTCTCTCCTATTATCAATTCCACATTACTGATACTGCTGCAACCATTGTCCACATAATTTTGTGTCAGTTTACTGGCTTCTGATGACTTAGATTCCTCTCAAGTTACAACTCAACTCAATTCAAAACAGCCTTAACCTCAGCTATTTAGGGTCCCAACTATTTATCCTCTCAAGTTAATCGATTAATAGATCAATTAGAACTGTGTGGTGCAGTCAGAGGAATAGGAAGCAATAATTTCAATTCTTAAAACCTCAAGTGTGAGCTTTCAGTCTTCAAAACGATTAGAAACATTTTGTTAGCTACATGAAAGTTGGTAGCAATTACACTCCCATGAATAAGAAAGTAAGTTTTCTTTGCTCCATTAGATCATTGCTCACCAAACAAAAAGAGGACCAAAAAGTTTGAAAAGGAACACGGCAGAAGGTATAGAAATTGATATTTCTTGACTACTGAACTGGCAGAAAGAGGATGCAAAAAAAAATCGTTTTTCAAATGATTGTATAACTCACGGGTCATGAGATTGGAAAGCTTATAGAAAGAAAGTGTTAGTTTAGTATAATTGAACTAACTTCAGAAACTTAAATTGTTCGTCGTTTACCTGGTAGAACTATCACAGATTCCTCCTTTGCCAGTTTAACACAGACGTCCACATCATCATCAATGCCTTCCAGAAGTGATACATTTAGTTTCACCTGAAATTTTAACATTTCTTGTGGTAACAGTTGACTTTGACAACTTTGTTTAGTAACAGAAATCAATCCCAGATACACAAGCCCTTACCATTACAAACATAGAGCCTTCAGGTTTGCTTGGGCAAGTCATGCAAGGGATCTCCATGATTGTATCATAACAAATGTCTGCGGCTTCTTTCAGAATTTCAACAATTTTTGAAAAAAAATCCTCGGGGGTTCTCCCAAGGATTTGTGGAACTGCCCCCTGACAATTCAATGAAATTAGAGGTCATCCGTCTAAGAATAGAGCATGATAGTTGTAGAGTGATAATTGGGTTCATATGCTCAATGTCTACAGCTGAAGTTCAAGGTGTAAGAGATACAGATAAGAAAAACTACTTTCAAATGCTATCAACAAATTTCTAAAGTAGAGAAGTTATACAATGATAGTAATATTACCAATACATAGTGACATATCGATAACACGAAGTTCAATTTCCTTAATGGATCATTCCATTCCAGAGGAATGTAAGATAACTAAGTTATTTGGACAAAACATCTTGAACTACAAACCTGAATGAAGGTTGCAGGGTCAGAGGATATATTTAGAAAGCCCTTAATGCAATCGACAATCTGGAAAGAAGAAAATTAAGGTATAATTCTATTGTAAAACGGAAGATCTAAACTAAAAGAAAACAACAGTTGCCAAAATTGTGCATCTTACATTACATGACTTTACATACAGTAAGAATGCTATACCAAAATCTTCCATAAATGATTTCCACAGCATAGATTTCATTATGATTTTCAAACTATATGCTGACCACACTAGATATGGTCAAAGCTTTTTAATTTTAATTAGCTAGTTATAGCAATATCTTCGTGTTTAGATTATTGAATTTTGCTTCTAAAGTCATCCCAAATGCAGTGGCCACACCTACGAATGCAGCCACCGCTTGCTCGTAATGAGTCACAGGATTTTCTACAGCTTTGGGAATTAAGGTAGTTCTACAGACTACATTCCCTGAATTGCTAAATATCAATCAGGGAACCTTGATGTATGGTATAATAAATCGGGGAAAATCATTATGGCATGAGAGTAATAGTTGATAGAGAAAGTACCCCATGTTTCTTGAGGATGTCATTGGGATCATTTGTCACAAGCCAACCAAGTCGCCAACCCGGAACAATCCATCTCTTGGATATCGACCCAACTGTGATAACAGGAGCAATTGAACCAAAGACACCCATGGGGACAAATGGATTACTCCCAAAAGTAAGATGATCATAAACTTCGTCAGTAATCAGTAATATTCCAAGCTTCCTTGCCGTCTCAGCAATCTAAGAAACCAAGCCATTAACCATTAGCACTATAACAATAACCATACAATTAGAAACTGCATGGATTGCACCCCCACTTCCCCAAAAAAAAAAAGGTACACACTTTCTTCCGATGTTGATATGTAAAGACATTTCCACAAGGATTGCCCGGGTTGATAATAACCATCGCAACAGTATTTTTATTGGCGAGAGCTTCAACTTGATCAAGATCAACCTCCCAACCTTTCTCTGGAAGAAGATCAAAGTGACGGAATTCAAGATGGCTATATGCTGCACGCGCTTCATAATATGGGTAGCCCGGTCTTGGCAATAGAATGTTGGCGTTGGGGCGAGCAAGGACTGCTAATATGACTTCGATTGCTTGTGTGTATCCAAGTGTTAGATGAACATCATCAGCTGATAACTTGTATGGAAGGTCTTGAGATAGGTACTCTGCTATGGCCCTAGGTAAATAATCAAATGTTGCATTGATGAATTTGAACAGATGAACCAAGTCATAAATAATTCTTTTGTATTAATTAGTTCTTTGCATTATTCTTCAATCTTTTGTTTACCTAAACACTTATGTAAGGCAGATCAACAAAGAAAAAAAAACCACTTATGTAAGGGAGAGGATGGGTAACTAGGTAATTCCTAATGAAACAAAAACAATGAAATAATTAAAAGATTTTTTTTTATTCAAGTATTTGAATGAATAAGTCATATAAAATATAAAATATCAAATATATTGCAAATTGTAAACAAATATTCACCTTGGTCTTCTGTTTTTACTTTTAAATGGGTCAAATCTTAAAACTGAGATTAACGATTGTTAGAGTATCTAATCTAAAATCAATTGTCAATGGGTGGGGTAGCCTCTCATCTATCAACACTCTCCGTCATATGGGAGCCGAGCTTGCACATGGAGTTAACAAACAACCAAATAACTATGCATAGTGAAAAATTCAAATGGATAAGAGACTTGGTCTATTAAAACAAGAGGACAAACTTGTCAGCCAAGTTAATTAGTGAAACGTACCCAAACCAATACTCAAATCGGCACTTGTCACCCCCACTTGATGGCTACTATGCTGGAGCTTGTCCCAAGTGCTGGTAGAATTAAAATTTGAATTCTCTTTGAATTCTACTCACTGTCGGAGCCATGCACCCTCAAATTTTGAAAAATACCCTTTACTCTCTTCTAGGTTTTTAAAATATTTACGTCGCCCTTTAAGTTTTTAAAAATTTGAGTACAGAATATACTTCTTTTATGGTATTAAAAAACTCATTTTCATGATAGTTTTATAGTTAGAACAAAGCATTTTGAAAACTTACAAAATTTATATAATCGTATAATAGAATAAGAAATGAAAAATTAAATTTGATAAATTTGAGATGATATTTAATTCAGATTCAAATATAGATACAGATGCATAATATGTTTTATTAATTTTTGTGTACAAAAATTATTTACTAGAGGTGACAATCTTAACCCATTACTTATTAATCCACCCATAAATTAATGGGTTGTGTACCTATATTAATTAATATGAGTTCTAAATTGGTTGGGTAATATCATTCATTTTAATTAAGCGGGTTTATATGAATTACAAATGAGTATCCGTTGAGTTGAGTATTTATCTTTTTATTAAATAATACAAGTAATAAAATTAAATAAATATACTAATATACTAAAAAAATACACACTATTATACCAAAAAATATACATATATACACTAATACACCAAAACATACACACACTAAAACACACCTCTAGAACACTAGCTTCGATGGTTAGAATCAATCTAGTTTACTAACATAAAATTTGTTACGTACTAAATTTTGTAGGGTAAATTCTCTCTCTATATATATAAGTACGTGACACTCTTTCCTGCAGTAAAGCAGCCGACAAACAACATCCAATCTATTTTTCCACTGAAAACAGATTATTTCAGCCAACAACAGGGACCCACTCTGCACAAAGTCAACATTTACCCTAGTAAAAGGAATTCACTTCCACTTTTTCACCGAAAGCAAAAGTGAAAGCATTCCACTCAAGATAAAAGTAGTCACACAAGACAAAAGAGCAATCATTCCAAAGATTCTTTAGAGAATCCTTACGTCTATATAAAAACTTCAGTCTTCACTAGCAAACCAAGCTTTGTTTCAGACAAAGTCCCTCTGCAAGCAAGCATACACTATCCTTTCCTTCTCTCATATTGTATCTCTGATCTTCATAATGATACAAATAAAGAAGCAAATTTTCAACTTTAGCATGTTACATCCACTAGTGTTGTAAGTATTTAATTTTCAGTATTGTATTTCTCTATCTTGTGAATATAAAGAATTTACTTTTAAAAAGGTTTAAATTCACCATTAACTCTATCTACAACTTGTGATTCTCCCTCATGTATCTATGTCTTCCGCATCTTGTGCTATTTTGGTATTAGACACATTTGATAGCCTGGATAGTTACCCATGCAATTGTATTTAAATCTTCGTACTTGTTTTAAATCTCTTTTATTTCAGTCTAGTAAATCATTGTTAAGTTTGGTATACCCTTGTCACCTAACCTTTGTCTCCTGAAAGAATGAGTCTAGATCCCTTTTGTAAGTCCTAGTGAGAGGCAGTCTTGGGAAGAAGACAACAAAGTTGAGGGAAGTATGTTAGGGGTATGCACAATGGAGTCAAATTTTAACAATAATTTACATAATTGAAAAAATAGATTTAAAAATGAGTAGATTATTCAGATCTAATTCTATGGCTAGCTCATCTAGATCTTTATCTAACACTGTATCAAATATAGTGAATGAGGAAGAATATGAATATGAACAACACAAGTTTATTGGAGTGGATGGAACATACCCAAGGTTTCCCATAAAGAAATCTACAAAACCAGTTGGCTCCGTAAAGCCTTTAACCAAGAACTTCAGGTAAAGACTATGGAACAAGTCTATGCTTTAAACAATGATGAAGAGTCGTGACAGTTAGTAAAAAAGCTATTAATAAACATAGTAATAAAGGGTTTAAGTTTATTCACCTTGGTTTAGTTCAAGTAGCAATTAAACCTTTAATCCCTTTAGGAAAAGATGCAGCAGTTCAATTATCCTTAAGAGATGCCAGATTCATAAATTATGAACCTAGCATTTTAGGAATAGTAGAATCTGGTTTCCATAACGGACCAGTATATTTCAACGCTTTCCAGACTTTACCTTAAGCCTTGAATATTCTAACATAACAATGGCTTTAACCCTTGGTATAAAACTCTCGGGGGAAATTACCAAATTGGTAAAAGAGATTCAATCTCTAGTACTGATCTATAGGATTTATTATAAATGCATCAACACAAACCTGAATGTGAATGCATTAAAGAAAAGTCCTAAAGATAACATCTTGTTAATTCAAGCTAGTACTAGAGAATCAAATACCCAAGTCCCCAAAACACTTTTATGGAAAGACGTTCAGCTACTAGAATCCTGGATAGTTGAAAATGAAAACCATAACAAAGAAAGTGAAAACACAACCACTAATCTAGAAAATATCCAATAACTCTGATGGATCAGTAAGAATTTCTTTCGACTTTGCAAGATCCAGTAGATCTAGCAGATCTGTTAGCAAACCTGTTCAAATCAATAAAGGTAGGAAATCTGATTCTTATTCTAGTATCTCCATAAGAGATAAGGAATTAGTTAATGAGTTAGAGAGAAAATTTAAGCTAAAAGTAATCGATAATTCCACCACACAAGTTAGTAAACCATATTACACTCCACAACAGGGTGTCTCACAGACCAAACCTAGGGAAAGTGAAGAAGAGAATTTTAGCCCGTCTCCTACAGCCACTAACCTAGACAGTCATGTCCCAGTAAACCACTAGTTGCTTACCATTAGGAAAGAAAATGGTTTATTCTTGCCTAATATGAGCAAATTAGGAAAAGAATTCAAGTCTCAGGAAAATGAATGTAAAAGACGAGATATTTATAAAAGATTTAATAGTGAACAACAAAAAGACATAATGAAGCAATAAGTTAATGCACAAAATGGAATATGAAATGTCATTTTTTGATTATCTTGAATCCCATCACAAAGAAATAAATGTAATAACAAAATATAAGTGGAAAACTTCTAAAGACTCCACAATATCCTCTAGTCATCCTTCAACAGAAACCATAGTATTTAGCCATTTGGATACAAAAGTCACAGCCTCACCCTTTAAGATTCCCATTAATGAATCTAATAAAAAGGTAATTGAGCAAAATAACTTCACCAACCAAAGTCTAATAATTATAGGTAAACAACTAGATAAAATAGAAACTAAAATCGATGAAATTAGACCATCTTCAAGTAAAAAGTTAGAAAAATCTCTAATCAATCTACTTGAAGACAGAACTAATTTAGGATTAAAAGATAAGCAAAATCTTCACAAAATTGAAGAACTTATCCACAAAATGGAATCCAAATTTGGACCATCCCATGTAAAAGTTATCAATCAAACCTCTGAAAATTTAGAAACTAGTAACATAGAAAGTTCAACTGATTCTGAAATCAAAAATTAGAAGAACAATTTAATGATCAACAAATCAATAAATTAACCTTTTCAAAAGTAAATCCAACTAGCACTAGTAAAAAACTAGTATCCAAAACCTACACCACCTAATCTTCAATTCGAAGAAAAGAATATCAGTAACCAGTTTTCAGTCCAATCCAACAAACTATATGAATGGAACATAGATGGATTAAGTGAATGAGAAATCCTTAACAAAATTAACCACATGCCTTTGGTTATTAATAGTTATGTCAACAACCGTGATATCACTGAACCAGAACTAGTTGATTTAATTACTTCTGGTTTCATAGGTGTGTTAAGAAGTTGGTGGGATAACTATCTTACCCAAGAATCTAGAGACATCATTAAATATGTTGTAGAACTTGATGATGAAGGAATACCCATCTTTGATGAAAGAATTGGTAAAGCAAAGCAAGATGGACTTAATACCCTCATCTTCACAATAATCAAACATTTTATAGGAACACCAAGTAATAGGATCCATGACCAGCTTAGCAACCTTAGGTGTCCAACTCTTAGTGATTTCAAATTGTACAAAGATGTATTCACCTCCAGAGTTATGCTTAGACCAAACTGTGATAAATCTTTCTAGAAAGAAAAATTTGTCAATGGTCTACCTAACCTATTTGCCCATAAAATTAGGGAAGCACTTAGCAAAGAAACTGGAATCTTTGAGTATGATTCACTAACTTATGGTGATCTTGTTATTACAATCAAAAAAGAAGGTATGACGATGTGTATTGACATGAAAATTAGTAAACAACTAAAAGATGATAAGAAAAAGGCTAAGTATGAAATGAGTGATTTTTGTGAACAATATGGTCTCCTTTCAGTAGCACCATCTAGTAGAAAACACAAGTCACACAAGCCTTATAGTCATAAAAGCCACTACAAATGTAG